TATGTAGTTTTTTATCACACCCTGTGCAGCCAGTCAAAATGTAAAGATTGAGTGGATGTGCTTGAGACAGGAAGACACTTTTGATTTGTCTGCCTGCCAATACATGAATGAAATTTGGGGATGTGTTTTCTCTCGGGTTATTCGCGACGGGGCCTCAGATGACTTGCGCACATGCTGGGGCTTTCAGAGGGGCTTTTATTTTGATTTGCACCAGCAGGGGATGGAATGGAGCCTGCTTGGTCTCGCTCCATCCAAGCCCCTGCGGACCCATTAGAGCTGCGCTCCAGTCCAGAGATGAGACGCCGTGGTGCTGATTTACTATTCAGAGGTTATTCATCGCCTGTGGATAAAAAGACAATTGAATTATGCTGTTGGAACAGAAAGACTAGGCCAGAACAGTTCACAGCATACGATCTCTGTGAACTGAGATCAAATGACAAGAGAGCAGGCAGATAGAAAGAGACGTCTGATTTGTCTGATTGCTCCAGGCGACTTCCTGTTTCTCTGATCAGGAAGTGCTGTTTTCAGTCAAGGCTGCTAATACTCCCGGAGATGTCAACAGAAAGCTCAAGGTCAGTGATCAGATCTGAACTTAGACAACATAATCGTGCTCAGGTGTTTCAAGTTCAAGCAAAAAACCCCCAAAAAAACCCAGACATTTGCTGTCTATAAAATTAACGATAAAATTTATTTATTGAATATTTGTTGTTTATATTTGGTACACAAAAGCTCAAAACCTGAAAGGCTTTACATTTTTTTGCAGCTTTTCTGGCAGAATAGTGAGGCCTAGAAGCTAGAAGGCATCTAGGAGGCATCAGGCACTCAGGTACCAGAACAACCTCCTCCTTTCAGTACAGAGGAGACTTGACACTAGAGCTGGTATGAAAGATGGAATTTAGCATCTGAATCTAATCTAATCCAATCCAATTAGCACCATCACTAACAACAACTGATGCTTGCTTCCATTGATGTATGTTTTAGCATTGACCATGAACACCACAGCATGCTGAGCATCATCATTTCAGCAAAGAGCATCACTGTAAACACAGTACTGTAAAGTAGCTTGTTTAGCCAGCACTGCACTGTCTGCTATTTTCGTGCAGCATCTGAATAACACAAAACCAGTAATCTTCCATGTTTTACAAAACCATAATTCAGCAAAACATCATTTATTTAAAAATTGCAAAATGAATTGGGACATTATATGATTATATATTATTATAAGATTTATGTTTAGCAAATGTCATCTGCTGAACAGTACTTACCTTTGAAAACAATTTCCCATCTTCCTCTCATTCCCTGTCTTTTTTAAAACATCTTTCTCCATCTCACTGTTTTACGTTTAACTAGCAGACAAACTGCACAAACAATTTGTCTGCTAGCTTAATGTAAAAAATTCCACATATGTACATATTTGTCATATTTGTTGAGGAGTTTGAAAATTTGAAATGACCTGTCACCATTTTTTTTAAAACTCCATTTATGTTCACTCCTCGTCTGTCTCACTAGCTAAATGCTAACTACCGTGACTGAAATTTGTACATCTGCACCAGGAATGCCTCACAGGGATGGGAAAAGTGTGAGCTGTGAATGTAATTATTTTCTTATTACAAGTATCTCTATGCTGTCATCTGCAGAATGTGAGAAATTAGCTAATTCACTCAGTAACATGCATTAATCTGCCCACTCACTGACTAAATGTTTAGAATACTGAAAATTGCTGACTTTTGCTAAAAACTGTGGAATTGGGGTGCAAAGCCTAAAGGAACTACCAGGAGAGTATTATTGTTAATGAATATAAACAAACAGTATTCTGTTATTACACGACCTGTTAGACCAACTGAGCACCAACTGATCATTTTTGAGTATTTAATTATATTGTTTCCAGACAGACTCTGACCTTTACTGTAGACTAAAACCTGGAGATTTGGGATTGGATAAATGGGCTCCGAATTACCAAATAAATATGCTTTTGTTTTATTTCAGAAATAACATTGCATACTTTGTTTTTTTCTCAAGCTTTTATTTATTTTTTCCGCTACATGTGGCACTGTAGCTATTAGAGAGGAGTGTTTAGACCTGGCAGCTTCTCCATTTCCAAAGACTGTGTGCACACGAGCTTCTTGTTTAAAGGAGATCATGTCATATTTGACAAATGTCCAACATATACAGTTGTTGCTGCTGTAATGAAGCAAGGATGTGGTCAGGTCTGAAAAGTCAAAACACTGGTCACACACCCAGCAGTAAAATTGTTTCTTGGATGTTCAGCTTCCTTTCCCCTCAGTGACATCATGCTGTCACTGCTGAACTTCCAACTGTAGAGCAGTACACATTTTTTACCCTTAGTGAGAGTTTAGACAGTTGTTCAATGAGACGATCACCTGCAAGTGATATAAAATAAAAGAGACAATAAAAAAAGAAAATTGCAGGTTTGTGCTTTCTATTATATCACTTTTAATCATTCCTGCAGAAATGTCTATGCCAGATGAACTGAGGTGTTGGCAGGACATCCCGGTTTTTGAAGGGATGTTTTACCCATTTCCCATCACCTGTTTGGACTCACTGATATTAAATTGAAAATACACATTGAAATCCTGGGAAACACTCAGACTGCAAAAATCTAAAAACATAAACAAATGGAAAAAACGTTGAACAGCACTAAGCTGTGTAACTACAAGTTAAGTCCGCTGGGTGGCCTTTGCTCAGGGGGTGGCCCGTCCTGGCATGCTATGAGTGTTGATTGTATACAGTGTGAGTAGCAATTGTAACACCCCCTGCCCCTGTTCGCCAAAGGGGAACATAGCTCCCCGTGCACCTCACCTCCTGGGACACAGAAGGTGAGCTGGACATGAGCCTAGATAAACGCAACGGCTGATCCAGCTGGGGTTGTGTCAGGATCGCCTGGGCGGTGGGGACAGGCCCGTCTTTGTCCAACAGGAGCTGCGTGTGGTTCAGTATCTTAAGAGAGTCGTAATCACATTGGCGATCAGGGTGTTAACAGGCCTCCGCAGCTGTCAGAAAGCAATGCACCCTGGGAATGCATGACGAAGGAACCGCTGGCCCTCGATGCGTGGGTTGCAGTATGTGTTAATCTCTGTACACACACAGCATGCATATGTCAGTTCATTTCAACAAGGGTAAAATGGGCGGACGCCTCATTTCTTGTCCAAACACACCAACAGCTATGGCAGCACATCAACAGCTTCACCCTGTGTAATTCAAAAGCCTTTTGAGATCTATCTTGGACGCTCTGTCAAGGCATTCCTCCTTTGAACGAATTCTGAACCACAGAAAATGACTGGATTCAAAAATAAACAACAATGTCAAACAACGATATAATTTAACAACCAAAAAAGAAAAAAAGAAAGCGCATACCACAAAACATTGTCAGCTTTAAATTAGCCCAGAAACATTCCCTCTTCCCTGAAGAGACATTTGAAGGCTGTTTGATGGGTAAAGGGTGACCCAAAAATAGCCAGGTAGTGAGACAAGGAGATCTATAGGGCACTGCAGGGAACTCCATGCTCAATACCTTCTGTCTAGGGTCTGATTCATGGGCAGGGGTCAGTCCTTCAGAGTATATATCAGGTTCTCGGTTTGTTGCTTTTAGCAGCTGTTATTGCATTTAGAAGCCTGAGCTCCCTCCACTGAATCACAGGAATAAACAGAGGAGGGGGACTTTGCCCTCATGGGCCCCAGCGTGGAGACGAACAGGAGACTGGATTGTCACAGTGACGCTAACATACTACAGCCCGGCCCAGGCAGAGATACGTTAACACGAGCCCATGCCAAACTGTTTCTAGGCTGGCAGTCAGTGCACCACAGGCTAGGTGGTCCACCCTTATTTACCCCTTTTAGCTGCACGCACAAGCTTGTTTAAACAAAGTGGGTGCCTTTGCTCGGCTCGTGGACGTCATCAGACCAGGGAGTGTTGATGTGGCCTTTCCCTGGAGCACCCTGGACTGTGTACTCCGGAGAGAGAGAGGAGGATGTTGCCAGCTGCAAAAGTTAGACCACAGCAGCCCTTGTTCCAGTTGTTTGACCAGATAACTGTATGCCAAAAAAGATGGTGAAACTGCATCAAAATCTTGGCTCTCTGGCAACTCTGATTAGCATTTGGATCCTGAAGTCAAACTCTCTTGCCAACAATTCAGCATTCTTCCACTCCACAGTGCTGCCAGCTCCTTCTGTGATCACTTTAGACTCACTCCATCACCTGCTGCCTACTCCATGCAGGTGAACACAGTACTAGAAAGAACAGTTAATGTGAGAAATAGCTTACAAAAAGGGAGATCATGAAGACTTTTGATTATATTCACACAGGCTGTGGGAAATTTAAAAAAACTAAACTAAAGTATGTTTATAACAGGTACAGTCATACAGTTCTTCCCTATTTGTATAGCTTTGTACTTGTTCAGCAGCGGCGCTGTTTTCACATCCTCTGACTGTTTGCATTTGTACATTTGTGATTTGACAATGGACATAAAAGTTGTGAAAATGCTGAAAGTGATACATGTTTAAAAAAACAATTAAGTTCTGATTATGTTTTCTATGTTTCAGTAGGTTTGAAAGCTAAATTTCTTGCCTTATTTTTGACTGTCTGGACAAAATGTTTAACTAAAATAAAAGAAATCCTTAATTATGTTGATTAAAAGGAATGTTCTTTGATAAAGCCACTCAAAGGCACACTTGTATGTTTAATGGATTTTAATAAGTTGAAAAAAGTAAATAGAGCCACAGACACAAAAGATTTTTATTAACTTTAAAAACAGACATAATACAGGAATTAAGGCATTTCACCTCATACATTCAGTAATAAACTGTTTCTTTTTCATGTCCCTAAGTTTTGCTCCCTCTCTTTACTTAATTGCAGTTTGTTTCTTTTGTTCCTTATTGTTTCCTGCATTTCTTCATCTTGTCCTCATCCCCTATTGTGTCGATGCTTTTAGTGTCTTCCTCGTCTTCTTTCACCTGCTGTTTTAATTTGGTTGTTTCCTATCCTTGTGTGTCTCCTGTGTCTTGACTCTCTTTGTCTAGATTCTGTACAACCTAAAAGTTCTCTCCATGGATAATAGAAATAAAAGTGTTCTTTTCATTATGCTCGTCTTCTTCATTGTAAACACATACATTCTGTAATTGTAGCCAAGGAGCACAGCTTGAACCTCGTCTTTCTGCAGCGCTTCAACACAACTCTGTATTATCCAAATATTACTCTACAGACTTCATACATTGACTGTTGTTTGTTCATGAATTGTGGACTATGGACCAGTGCAATAAGTGAGTTCCACTTTTCCTGCCTGCCCAGCAGATGTGCAGTTTTATTGGGAAAATATCTTGCTCCAAATATTCCAGCTCTTGTCCTGACCTCCACAGAAACTGTGATTTTTCATTTCACAGCAACTTTCCAGACAGTGAGATTTTGGATGGAGCTTCTCTGATATTTTTTTAGTTACCATCCTTTGATTAATGGGCATCTAGTAGCTTCGCTTTCATTTGGTTAGAGAAGCTAGTGATTGTGTATTGTTACTGTGAAGTTTAATGCATTCAGAGAGTTCAGAATTGTTTTCAGCTGACAATTTCTAATAAAGAAAAAAGTTGGTCTCATTAGGAAATGAGAATACCTGAGTTTTAATTCAATGAAAAAATTAAACTTTTTTAAAGTCCATGTTTCGGACAGTGGCACAATTTCTGTCATAGTTTGTCTGTCCTTGCTGAAGCTCTCTGCCTCATTCGTCTGTTGTGCCAGTATGTGTGTTCATGTTTGTGTGTGTGTGTGTGTGGGTGTCTGGTAGTGATGGTTTTTGTGCAGTAGCAGGTCTCAGTGGAGATTTCCCGCCTTCTGGTGCCGCACACCTGCAGGTAATCACACACCTGTCTTTGATGACCTTGTGAAGAACCAATACTAAGGAGTGATCTGTGCTGGATTGTTGAATGACTACAAAACCTGTGTTGCAGAGGTGTGGTGAGTAAATTGTAAATATGGAATGAGGTGCAGTGAAGAGCACCCTTCTGGAGAAGGATCAGTGAGATTGGGATCTAAACACGAATGTAGAATCGAGCTGTTTTGGGATTGCTGCTGCTACATTTTCACTGTAAAAAAAATTCCCTGTATTCAAGGAGTCCTGCTTCACCGCATGGCAATGTTTTCAACTTTAATTCAGGGTGTTTAACAAACATTTTGGATTTTTTATATATTCTTTATTGCATCTATAAGCACTAGTGGTCTGGTTCCATGCCATAAAAGTGCCTTCACCATGTTTAACAGATAGTGTGGTATATTCCAGACCACAAGCTTCTCACCTTCTCCCTGCTTGTCTCTTTTAATCATTCTGGTAGAAGCGGATCTTCATTTAACCTGTCTGCAGATTTTTCTTCTTTTTTTTTCAGAACTTTGCAGGCTCTTTTAGATGTTTTCTGGCAAAGTCTAATCTGGTCTAGTTGTTCTTAAGTGTAACCAGTTGTAAAGCCTCTGTATATCCATTCATGAAGGCCTCTCTCGACTGCAGACCTTGACAATCATACATGTATATCTCCTTGAGAGCGTTCTTGACTTGGCTGGATTTTTGAAGGGGTTTTTCCTAACCAAGGAAAGAATTCCACAATCGTCTACTTTCTTTGTCCAGATCATTCCTCCTTTTTAAGAATGTACCAGACTGTTTATACAGCCACTCCTAAAGTTTTTGCTATCTCCGATTTATTTTGTTATGTCTTCCTTCATTTGTATCAGCATCTCTTTGGATCTCATATTGATAGCTTTAGTTATCAAATAGTTCCAGTTCAGCACTTGGAATCAATTTCAGATCTACTTAATTTTGTAATGGAATATCAGGGCAACATACCTCACCTGGTCAATTGCCTGAAAACGGTCGGCTGTAATTCCCAAAGAGTCAAACCATTCTTTTTTTTATGCCTTTTGACTTAAACTTAAAGTTTGGCCTTTCCTTCGTTTTTGTTTTAAATTCCTTTGGGGAGTGTACAGAGGCAAAAGTTTGAGAAATGTGCAAAAACCTTTAGACCTAACTGTACGTTGTCCATCTTTCCCATACTGTTGTATCACCAGGGAAATCATCTGATCAGCAGTACCGCATAACATATCATAATGCCATACATATAATTTTATATGTACTCTGGATTATGAACAGATGGTGTCAATCTGAATAAAAAAAGACTATTGAATAAAAGATAATTCACTGGGCTGATGTGTGGTGTTTCTAGAGTCTGGCATGAGGACAGAGGACTGTACTCTCAAGTCAAGCTGAAGCCACTTACTGTGGAATTTTACCTACAGACCATCTCCTAATGACCCACTGCTGTCATTGACAGGCCACATCCATATCAGTCAAGAGCAGTAGGGGGACTCATTAGCAGTTGCCATGAAGGCCACTTGGCTGCCCACTTTA